GCGGCCTGCGTGTAGCGTTTATGAATTTTAGTAGTCTAATGAACAATCATGACGACGTTTGCCACTTAGATGCCTCTCAGCATCAAAACGTACGGCGCTTAGCTAGAATTTGGTTAAATCCAGATTTAACCGCCCAAGCAATCTAAATCTGCGGGTATTCTTGCTTCCGCTGTGATAGGCTATCAAATGACCGCGGTGGCGTACTGTTATGCATACGGTCTTCTATGTGTGGGAGACTCGTGAGCATCTACAGAGGTCGTGATAACCTGTACGTGCAGCTATGGTGTTCGATCCACCTGAGACTGGGCGGATTCTCCATTGGTGTTTTGTATCACAGTCCACTGAGCCGTAGATTGGACTGGTTGCCACATGTGAGCAACCTTATTAGTAGTCTGAAATTCGTGCTCTTTGGCGATTTCAACCTTACTTGAATACGGTAGCCCTAGGTCGAGCTTCTCCTTGGCCACTGTAAAGTCGAGACAAAGTTTGCGGAGATGTTTGAAACTGGGGCCACATAGCACATCAATCAACCGAGGTTCATTATCACGCGTACGACTTCATCGTGCCCGGGCCTGTTGCTGATCAGCTACTATCGAACTGTGCGTTATGTTCAAGTCCTTCAGCCCCTGGCAGCTAGTGCCACACAATGGTCATGGCGAACTTGGTACTGCCACTGCCGTTTACTCCTCCGCTGGAGCCAGACTTCAACTACTGGAAGGCGGACTTTAATGGCCTCACCCGTGCCGCAAGCCTGATGAACTTGTCGCTACCACAGCATTCATCAGCTGAGGCCTGTTTGTTTGTCATAAAAGGGGGAGTAAAATCATTATGCGCATGATTTGTGCACCACAAATATCGAAAAGCTGGACTAGTCAAGCCACACTGGTTTTCCAACGTGCATTCTAAATCTCTCGACGGCGACTCCGACTATAAAATAAATTCCTGCAACTTGGCTCTGGCGAAGAAACGTCTGCAACAGCAAGCAACCGGGCAAACGGTGATGCGTCGAAGAGCAGCTTGCAAACGAAGGAAAGGCAGCTCCCAGAATGATCTTTGCATAGCTGAAGTGATGCCTGAGGCCGACAGGTGATGTGCCTGTGTTAAAGGGCTTGAACGGACAGCTCAATGTTTCCAACACTGAACCCGCTTCCACATTGGCGGCACACTTTGCTTCCGTTTTGCAGCTAACCAGGCATGCGTACCGAATTTGAGACATAGCGCTCCTACTGAACTGGACAGCGTGGATTGCAGCGTTGCGGATGTGCGCAATTGCTTGCCTGTCTTAACGTTTCGACGGATGCAGGGCCTGACGCGCCCCATCCGTTGATCCTCAAATCACTATCAGCCATCACCTCGCTTTCGATGGCTGAGCTATTCAACAGGTCGTTGTCCGTTGGTTCATTGCCGAGCGACTGGAAATGCTCAGTAGTGAAACGGATTCCAAATAGTGGCGATCCGAGCAAGTTGATAACTACCGGCCGATATGCCTGACCTCTGTTTTGGCTCAGACACTCGAGAAGATAATGAAGTATGGTTGCAGGTGGACAATTACTCCAGCGAGTAGTATCCTCCGATCAGTGGTATCCGCAGAGACCAGTCCGTGGGCCAATTTTGTTCCCGATTCACATCAACGATTTACCTCAGCTTCTCAGTTCGCCTTGCGCGTTGTCTGCAGATAAGCTTAAGGTATGTAGGATAATTGAGGCGCCCAACCAGTGCGATCTGTCTCAGCGTAACTTTGACCGGCTCTCTAGGTGGTCAGTAAAGGTCAAACTTCTGACCAACCCGGTCAAGTCGGAAATAATGAGCCTGAGCAAAGGTGGTGTGGTCGAATCTACAATCTGGCCGGTCAACAGTTACACCCATCGCCATCCGTGAAAGATCTCTGTGTAGTCTCACGTTGCGAATTGAAATCCGTTGAAAATAAGAATAAGCTGCGACAAAACGGACCGCGCATGTTTTGGACGCTCAAACCAAGCTTCTGCACGTGGTCCGAAGAGGTTGTCACCTGCCTCTTCTATTATCAGACCAATGCTAGAGTATATCACACGCGCCTACTCTCCGTCCACCCGGGGCGAGGTGCAAAGGATTTAGCAGGTTCAGCATGTGGCCACAAGGCTCATCCCGGTTAACGAAGTGTGCTATATAAAGACTGGCGCAAGAGACTTGTGTTTTACACTATGTCTTACGGTCGAATGCGGCTTGTCCTCATCACGACGAACCGGATTTCACATATGGGTGATTACCCCGTGTTGAGGCCGCTGCTTCATCTGCGCACACTAAGCAGCATATGAGGACACCGGTACAAGCTTTTCATGTCAGAGTTGATGCGGGTAACTCACTAACTCCGCTGCGCGCGAAGGATGGTGAATAGTTGTAAGATCCTACCTGCAGACACAGTCGAAGCAAAATCGGTACCGGCGTTTAAGAAACTTCTGGACTCGCACACTGACGAGTTTAAATTCCGAAAATATTCATCATCAAAATGGGTAGCTTTTCTTAAAAGATATTAGATATAACTACACAGAAGCATCCTTATCCGCTGCATATTTTCAGTATGCAGTAGTCAGAATACACGTGGAAAATACAAAAAAAGGAACTGCAGCAAGATGAAAGATCTCAGCCTCTGCCTATCCACAACAGGTAATCACATGTAACGAGCAAGAGAATCCTCGCCCTGCAAGTTCAATCTTTGATGACCAGAGGATTTTAACTTCGAGATCTTCCACACGCCTAGGTCAACCGATCCAACTCCCCAGATACGTTACCATTATGACGTCGAATTTATAACCAGCCCAATTGATCGACTCCTCTACGTACGGGAGGAAGAGTGAAGGTGAAACATTTTTCGTCTTGTAATGGAGCTTGAAAAGGCAAATCAACCAATGTGAATCGCCTTTGTAGACGAACTAAGTCCGAGGTTGATCTGATCTTGCTTACGTAGGTTTAAAGACATAAATCCGATGGATCGTGAACGACGCAACTCTGCAATCATTGGAGTAAAGAAACGAAATGGCTATGGGGAAACTAATCGTCGTAGCCTAAATTTTTGCATCGTTTCTGAGAACCTGAGAAGCCGGGTAAAGAAGTTGCTTCCACTTCCGTCACGCCACGTGGTTCCTGATGCGGCTTGCTTGTAGCCTTAACCAAATTTAGCAGTCTTATACATTCTGTCGTTTCGTTTTGATGAAATTTTGCAGATTTAACATTTTTGGCTCTCACAATACAATATTCGGCAATACGGCTGTTTGGGATCACCAATAGGCATAAGTAGGAAAGCTGGATCTTATTAACTTATAATTGTATATAAACATTTTATTGCAATTTGGCTTTTTGCTTTGACAAATAATCAAGCAGTTGCATCATGCAGCTAGACTCCAATGAATAGCACGCTCGCAATACTTCCCTGTCAATCGCAAATTAAGGTTACTACCAACACCTGTGGAGAATAAGTTTGGAGCTGACCAACGCATAAGCATGTTTGCATCTGTTCAGTAGCACCAGCAAAATATTGTTCGTTGGCGAATTCTTCAATGACATCGAGTAAAGTGCAGACCGGCTTACTTGCCATCGCCCAAGGTATCAGATGTACCTCATTCGTACTTAAATTTGGCGAGCCACAATCAGAATTGAAAACTGAAACATACAGTTATGGGGCACCTCAATTATTTCGTCTAACACAACACCTTGTCAAATGCCTGGTACTAAAATTACGTTGTTTGCATATAGTCATACATTGGGATAGACGTTTAATATAACCGACTATATTTGGCATAACTAATCGCAGCTTTTCGAAAGTAACCATTCTACCTGCGAATCTGTTGCTTTTATTTTTAGAACGCCAAGAGTTCGCGCAAGGTAAATCTGCGACAACTCTTCACCAAAATCAAATAAATGCCATTCTACTCACAATTTAATAGTATTCGCCTTGAGAGTTTACATGTCACCACCATTTGTGGCGGCCTGCAAACAAAGTCTTTGATGCGTGGGCAAACCCTTTACTCTGCAAGTGTATAACATATATGAGAGTAGATAGTGAACGGTGCCATATCATCATTCGAAGCCACCCATGGCAGTCAGCTGCCGTCACCCATGTCTCAGTGGTATAAGTCGCTGACTCGCAAAAGTTTCTTGGGTTTGAATCCGGCAGGATTCGGCGGATGCTCGCTACTGACGAGTACCAATTGAACTAACCGGCCACCTAGTGCATTCCTAGATCTGTGATGGCTGTCTGCCTGAGAGTAACTGACAGGAATCTTTACAAACGCTATAAATCACACTACCACCCATAAATTATCAGTCGTCGCCTTAGCCGTTGAGAAGGCAATCTCGACTGATGTTGGCTTGAAAAGGAAGTCGTAAGTCAGGTGGCCATTCTAGTGTAACAACCAGCGTCGAGCGTTTCTCATTGATCCGCGTCCCTGGTCGTTCACATGTGAGTCATTCCTTTCCTGCAGCTGTTTATACACGCTCTCACGAAAGGTACAAATCAAACGATGATTCCTAACGTGAAATTTTTGTGTAAATGTACTAACAGATCAGATACGGTGTGGCCAGCTTTCTGTGCTATGTTAGATAAAGTTGAATGGTTCGTCTTGGGTAAAGCTTAGACTGTGGTTTGAGTATTTAGCCACGCAAACTTTTCACTCTAGTAGACACGTTTTTGTATGGTCAAAGTTGCATGAGCAATCGTGAAGACAAAATTTTAAAATTCACTTGCTTAACCAGTCGGCTCTTGATATATTTGACGATGATGTTTTAAACACCCGAATCATGCAAATGCATTTACCGGGCTTATCACTTGACACAACCATCACTATTATTAACTAGCATGATTAACGAAGATAAATATTTAGTTTGCGTGAAAGTGAATGAAAATCTATGCAAGAAAATCTTTGATATTAAATATATCTTCTCGCTCTCTATCTCTATCTTGTGTGCTTGTTAATTGATTTCGGCTTTATTAACTTAAACCGCACGCCTGAACGGCACGTTACGCCATGCAGACAAATGGCACAACGCTGGAACGTTACCTTGAGTCGAAAACCCACCTTTTCATAACAAAGTTCAAGGTGGTATGCGCTCAATGTGTTTTTGTCAACGATATAAATACTGGCTATTTTGAAACACTGACCAGCTCAGTTGAGTTCCGCTCTAAATTCCCCATTGGAAGAACAATGCTTGTCGTCATCTTGTCTCTTCTACTAGTGAGTTACATAAATCGTTAATGTCACAGGTTTGCTGTTAGACCACCATTGTTCCTTCAAGTTTGTTCCTCAGGATATACTGCGGTTTAAGAACCCTTCTGATTTGAGTTGGTTTGATTTGCGTCACAACACTCCAAGGAATAATTTCACCATGACTCTAATGGAACGACTGACTACTACACTAAGTTTTTTAATTTCCGTCCCGTAATGCATTAGACGCTAGGCTCGTTCGTGTCATCGCCCATATCATACCATATTTAGTTAACTTCGCGTCCGTTCTTCTAATGCCTTGCAGACAACACAAGTCTTTTGTTTCTTATACTGTGTTCCCTATTCGACTCAACCTAAAACAGGTTTTGCCACTCGCTATTATGATTACAACTACCGAAACGGAGTATACCCAATTCAATCTGTGCGACTTCTACTGCAAGAAGAAGGCTGGTATCGACTACCCGACGTTGCGTGCAAACGAGATTACAGAGGAGGAGAGAAGAAAACTCGCTGCGTACTTTACATTTTTCAACGAATGCATACTTGCTGATGTTTCCACACTTCACAACAACATTCCTTCTCCTGATGTGTAATATACCTCGTCCAATGTTTGATTTTGCCACATTTGTGTAACGCCAATTTAATGCAAGATTGATTATACAAATTTCTTCCAATCCGCGAATTCACTGCTCTTAAGTGCGCTGCGTTTGAGCAAACATTGCCTATGCGGTTGACTTCCTCGTTAGACGAATTGGTCCAGCGTTCCTTTTTGTTTTTATTCAGTCTACTAAGTCAGTGACGTTTCATTTATAGTGCTGCTTATTCACCATCCAATTCAAATCGCTGGTAGATTGAATTGCCAGTAGAATACTATGAATCCAATAATCCTCTAGCTTGTCTTGACTTTCCACGGGCCAGGATCTCTGCGTTCTCTAGGTTGATGTGGTGGCAATCTTAGTCTTCATGTATGAAAATCAATGAGTGTAAGTCATGTCTCGGTATGGTCTTTGTGTCTTGGTTGATTTGTGCTGAAACCTTCCCGAACGTTTGTCCTTTATGGTGTTTGTCAGATCCTTCGCAGCGCCTTACAGATGCCATCATTCTTCTTGCCCTGGGTGACTATGTCTTTCGGCCTTGAGAACAATCATCTCAAAGTACCATTTCACCCTTGGGTGGTGGTGACGAAATATTTGCAACCAAACTACCGAGGACAGCGGACACTGAGACCACCAATTGGACAACTTGGTCCACCAAGAAATCACAAAATATGTGGAGCTAGGATTTTCGTTCAGTTTGCCAATTGATTCAGATATCTCTTAAGCATTGCTGTCACCAGTGGTCACAATAGATGTTCCGATTCACATTCTTCACGTTTATCTGACAATTAGAAACGAAGTCAGACCAATTAACAAATCGTGTGGTGATCCTCTAGGAATTTCTATCATGTTGGATAGTCCGCAGTCTGGTCTCCAATCCATGTTTATTCGAAATATCTATCACCTCTTCGTAAAGGTAATAATGTATTTTTGGTAGCTGTGGGTGCGATAAATAATGAGCTGGTGTAGATGTCATTTATTTGTGAAAAACCTACCTGTATTGAACCTTAATCGGAACCCAACAGAGCGAATTGAATTAACGCTGGATTGACTCAGATTGATGTCAGTTTTCTCCGCACTGCTGAGTGTATGTTATTAATAACGAATAACGGGATTATAATAGGGCGTCTTTCAAATTTATTCGCTACTGGGCGTTTTGCATGAACACCAGCAAACGAGTGAAATGCCTTGTTTTCAGAGTCGTCTAGCAATCAGACCCCTGGTCACTGTGATGGTGAAATAATGCAAACCTATCTACTCAGGTTTATGCGCGAACCTCTTGTTCTGTACACACTATGTGGGTTCACACAAACGGCATAAAAGGTGGTCAAGTTTCATGGTAAATAATTTGGTTGTACCTTCCAAAGTGTATAGTCAACTGAATTTCTGTTTGTGCTGTCATGCCGCCGTCAGCCCTTAACCACATATAAATTAAAACCACAGCTTTCTGTAACGGCTGATACAATTGCTCAAGTAAAGCACCCCCGGGTGCAGACGGCATTCGCCCAAAGGCGTTAAAAGTTGCGGCCATGAGTTTAGCTGAAGCGTTAGCAAAACTTTCACGCAGTGGAAGCATGGGATCATCACTTTCGTCTACAAAATTGGAAACCGAGTGAAACTAACAAATTGTCGCCAGATCACACTACTTACAGTGATCGTCAAAATCGTAGAGTTAATAGTAGCTAAAGCGCTCGTGTGATCCCGCAGCAGTACGCATTTCGCCAAAATCGTTCCTGCATTGCTTAGCTGTCGATAGCTGGTGCATGCTAGACAGAATCTGTGTACGCTGTTGTAGAACTAAATGCCACCTACCTGGATTTCTCAAAGAAGTTTGGGCGATAAAACTAACGGATTCGATTACAAAAGCCTGAGGATTATGAAATCGGAGAACTCATTCTAAAATGGATAGACGACTATATTGTCTGAATGTGATGACAGGTAGCACCCAGTACGAACCAAACGAAATTAAGTGCAGCGTACCTACGGGATCGGTACTTCAACCCTGCCTGCTCCAGGTCTTCATATATGACTTCGCGAGTGTTATCTTTTCAAACTTACACAAATTTGACAGTGAACTAAAGATATGGCATGCTATCCCGACAAGTACGAATCACAGCCTTGCAAGGTGATCTGGATAAAGCATGCACGTGAAAAGGTAGCAAAATATGCAAACCAATACTTCGACTTCATTCGTATAGCGTTCGTGAAGTTCGATGCCTCAGTCTTTCCAAAAAGACATGGCCAGTTCGTGAGAGCACATGCGGAATACGATATTTAAGCTTGACAACTCTGGTGGAAGCACCACACAAAGCAGGGCGAGGAAGAATGTCAGAAGTTCGTCTGACCTTCACTAGCCCCTCAGCCTGAAAATTAAAACTGCAGTCCGGACCTAATTTGTGTCCACGAGGAGATCTCATCGGAGTGTCTTAGATCCCAAATAAAGTTGACAACACCTGCCTCTATCTTTTGAAACCCAGCCAAAAGACCTCTCTGAGGAGTCATCAGTATAGGTTGGCCAACCAATACAGCCGACTGGAACGTCGACGAAACACGCATTTTCCGAAGTGTCGCAATACTAGAACGCCCTCCCGGTACATATGATTAGTGCTCTCAGATTATCTCTAATCAACAAAATAGAAGATACTCTGAAGCATGGACCCAGTGATAAAGCCCCAGAGCACTACATGATGACATTAGGGCAGAGAAACGATATATGTTGTTTTAATCCTCTTAAAATCGATGCAGGAATACACACACATGTGCTAATGCAAACCCTTTGGTGAGTCATGTATCTCACACTTACTTTTACCGGAAGCATTTGTTTAACCTTACAACTTTTATCCTAACCTTTGAGAGGACTTGCCAATTATATGCTACTATACATGTCATAAAGCATTGTTCATTCCTTCGCTGTACCTTTTGGAGTTGGTACAAATACTCTGAGCTGTCACAGTAACTATTTATTACCAAAAGCATTTATTTCATCAAAACTCCTCCTACTGATAAGTAATCAACATACTGGCTTCATCAATATTCAAATACTACTATGTGGTAGATGTTGTGTCAGCCAGTGTGTCAGTCTTTGTTCTCTATAACGATAAGAAACTAGATGGCAGTGGAGGATTTGTTTTCGACCATAGCCCAGTTGGCTCGCAACTAAATACCGTTCGTCGCCATCCCACATGATTCGGTAGCATAACTTTATGGTCAGTATGTGTAAGATGTTGGCAGCTGTGTTCGATACTTAGTAGCCGACTAAAATAATGAAAAACACTAACAAATAGTGCGAAACCACAGCCTGGTGCTTATTCAGATTTGAAACCAAAACACTGTTTGTGACATTTTGTGATAGACCAACGACTAATATTGCGTAGTTGGCAATTTAGTGCGCCTTATATCACACGCGAAGGAATAACCCTACTACACACCTTACTAGAGTACAGTGAGCAAAGTATTGGGAGGTTGCTGTAGTATGGCTCAAAAAAGCAGCTGTTCTTGCACTTGCTATTTAAGGGCCATTCTGCTGGTAAGACTTATTTCGCAGCCCGATTGAGGATTTTTTAAACAATAAGATCTGATTGGCAATACCCTTGAAGGAGAATTTGCGCTGGTGGATCAGTTCGATGCACGTTTATTGGTACGCCTGCTCCTGTGGTGCATAATTTTTGGGACACACTACGAGGCGCCTATCTCATAGGATTCGCGAACACATTTCGGCCTAGTATCACAAAGATCAGATGAGGTCCACAAACACTTCTATTATGTTATAGCTCCTTGATTTTACCCACACGGCCTTTAGGGGTGAGGTCAAGGTCCTATACTGCCTACCTGTACTTTTCACACAAGGCTTCCGCAAGCAGCTCCTATGCATTACTGAGGCTATTTACATCCGGCACCCAAAGCCTGAACTGTGTGCCAAAGCGTTACATACGTCCGCTACTATCCATTAGCCAGCGAACCATTTACCTAACCATTTGATTGATGTCTGAGCTTCTATGTTGTAGATTTTTGCTTGGTTTCTCGTCTATAACCCAAGCTTGAGCTATCGATTGACGGTTTGCACAAACCAGGAAACAATTTTCACCCCGAATTGACACTAACACAACATAACATCTACCATGTAAACGATTGGCTGCGAGGAAAGTTTACACAAAATGCTTCTTAACCCAACACTAATTTGGTCTGTATTTGATCAGTTAAAATTATCTTTCAGGTCCCGATGAACCGATCGAACTGCGTACGTAAACGTATACTAGAAACTGCTGGGACAAATTTTAATCGAATGTATGGCCCAGAGCTGTGTATTGAGAAGAAAGCATTTATATCTTTACAGCCAACTTCATACATAGTGCCGATATGTTAGGTTATTAAAAATGTTACTTAACCTGTTGTGCATACAATTTCACGAGCGAATCAATTCATTCTCTACCTGAGGGGTCACCTTCAAGCACTATCAGTGACACGCTCCTTGTCATTGGATATTAACCAATGGGACACCTTGGATGTGAGCACAGGGCCAGATGTATGATTCTATGGGGTATAGGTATGTTTCCGAAAAGCTTGACACACTGTGTTAACGGAAGAAAAACAGGGATGAGAGTGCCAGTGCTAGAGGGTACCAACAGTACGCCTGACTGCAGCTGGTCATCCTAGGTTGAGATGTTTGAACGTTCTCCCTCAGCACACCATTAACAGGTCTTTTGTCTGAAAGAGTTAGCATTGGTTCGTATTCTGATCCGGCTGGTACCCGGCATCCCTGTGCCAAATTCCCAGCGCTTGTCCGAGCAGTCCATAACTTAAAGAGCACAAAATATTTCGCTCGATCCAAGGTGTACAGTACCAGAGAGTTAGTTTTGCCTCTGGTCGAAACAATATATCGCATGAAGATAACAATAATAATAATAATTGTACTACTACTACTAATAATAATAATGGACATCTTTCTCATCTATTGAAAAGCTGTGCCAATATTTGACACAGAACATGCAAACACAGGT